TCAGCAGGCAATGAAAAAAAAAAGCAACGGACAAAGAAGAATGGGGGTTGGTGTCTCACCGTGCCTCTCATTCTGGCCATTTGCCAGTCACGGAATTAGAAAGGAATTGAAACCACCAAGTGATTTTTTAAGCGCTAACTTCAATATTAGATTTTTCAAGAGTCTGTATATTTTGCTTTCAGCGTGAGGATATTTTTTTGTCAATCTTTTTTTTATTTTACATTTTTTTATGAAAGAAAACATTAAAACGCAATCTATCTATCTATTTCTGTCTGTTTTATTTACCATGCTAGTTAACTATAATGATAGATCTGAATTGACAGATATGTGAACACACACACACACACACACACACACACATATATATATATATATATATATATATATATATATATATATAGAGAGAGAGGAGGTTTTGTGTTTTTCTCGTTAAAATAACAATAGTTCGATTTAAATATTGACATAACAGTAACAATTACAGTGATATTTAAAACAAATTAGTCTCATGTGAAATACGTCTATTTCTATTTAATCATCTCTATTTAATCACACACACGTATATATATATATATATATATATATATATATATATATATATATATATATATATATATATATACGTATATATATATATATATATATATATATATATATATATATATATATATATATATATATATATATATATATATATATACATATATATATATATATATATATATATATATATATATATATATATATATATACGTATATATATATATATATATATATATATATATATATATACATATATATATATATATATATATATATATATATATATATATATATACATATATATATATATATATATATATATATATACACGTATATATATATATATATATATACATATATATATATATATATACATATATATATATATATATATATACATATATATATATATATATATATATATATATATATATATATATATATATATATATATATATATATATATATATATATATTAATTCTCTACTCGCCCCATATCCTAACTTCAATTTTTTGATGTTTTTTTTGGAAATACTGATTTTGGAAGTGGTTCTTCCGAGAATATTTCAACATAGTTATCTGTATATATTCTCTCTGTCTCTTTCTTACACACACGCATATATATATATATATATATATATATATATATATATATATATATATATATATATATATATATCATTTCAACTCCAAACAAAACATTAATGACTAAGACGCAAGAGGTGACGAAATGAAAATGAGAAAACGTTAGTGAAATGAAGGCATCATAAAACAGATTTTAGGAAGTCAGAAGATCTTAATTGATATTGCATTTAAACTTTTGTAGATTCTAACTTAGAGCAAATCAATAATCCTGGAGGGATTTCGACAGGCAAGCGAGAGAAGAATCCTTTAAAAAAAACATGTACTTGCTTCTAGGTAATTCAGCATTAAAATAATGCCATCTTGCTGCCAAATTAGTCCTATACTTATATTCATGTGGTACCAAAGAGGAAACTTCATTTGAACGATTGCCATCAAAATATTTATAGAAAATAAAACAGAGAGGACATGTTACAGTGGGGTTAAATTGATTGGAGTAGGGATGCCATGATTCTTCTTTGGAATTTGTCAAGAATATTTATATTAAACGCAACAGATAAGATGTGGCAACAATATTCAACGTGCAGACGAATGGTTGATATATAAAGGGGCAAGATAAATTCAGGTGAGAAAAATGGTCTAGTGCAGCACAGTCATTTATGTGCCATGAGTGTTAAACGCTTAGGCGAGGCAGATTATTTCCTGCAGTAGGTTGCAATTTCTTTCTGTGGTAGACTAGTTGCCATCCAAGATTTCCAGAATCTGGTTTGTCCTGCTATATATCCATAGTTGGCAAGGTAGAAGTAGAGGATTCATACCTTTCTCAAGGGTATTAGCACGTAAGTGAATGTCATGGATTCGACTGGAATTCGATTCCTCAGTCTGAGCCGCGATCCATTACTCCACCGCGCCTCCTATAGTGCAACATAATGAACCAATTTCTTAGTATCGATCTTATCAACTGACTCGATATGATCTTTCTAGTTAATATATTTATGGGAAACGCTATATCGAGAAGACGGAATGAATTACTCTCCCGGCCCTTCGCATCAGCCATGCTGTTGGAAGGTGAAAATCTTGCTCTAAACGAGGAAAAGACAGCAATTTCGATTTGGAGGAGTTAAAATTAATAAGCTCCTTTCTTGCCATATTTAACAACAAACTGGAGGTAATTTTCGAAATCTGCTGCCAGATTTACTTCATCGGACTTACTATTAAGACATGAGTAGATAGTTTTGTAATCAACATAGCAATTTGGAAATTAGCAGCATCGAGAAGGTCGTCGATGAACATAAGAAACAAAGTAGTTATAAAGATAGACACCAGAGATCATTAATGTTAAAGGATCTAGAATAGTGGCCGTTCAGTATGACATTCATTACACGTGTTTGTATGTGTCTGTGTGTTTGTGCGTCGCACAAACCTACTTCCCAAAATCTAAACTGAGACCGAACTTTAGAATTGGGGGAGTCCTCCTTTTGTTGGTGGTATAACCATTTTGGCGGTCACTCTTGTACACACACACACACACACACACTGAGGGGCGGTAATTTAATGAAAAAAAATGATAAAAAATTCTTAGGAATTTCTTCAGAATAAATGCCTTTTTATCATTCACTTACCTACTTTTTTTCTGATATTTTATATCACTACAAAACTATGCAAGTAAATTTAGACGAACCTGTAAAAGTACTACTTACCTGAAAATCTCGTTTCCACCTTTTCCTTTGAAGTAGGCCAACGGTGAAATCACGCTAGAAAACACCCGTTTCCGTTCGATCTTCGAAATTATCCAGTATCGAGCCCTGTCAGTACTTAGATGGGTGACGGCTTGGCAACAACGAGTACTGTAAACGGACTCAGAAATAAGCTTCGACTTGAAGTAACCAACAAAAAGTTGAAAAGCCCTTAAAAAAACACTTCGAAGCAGTTCCTTTTAATAAACAATCACCACACCAGCATCGATTCTTCTTACAGTTGGCTGAAGTACGTTATTCAAATATGCCGAAAATAAAACTCATGCTAACAGAGAAAAACGTGTGCATGTGAGTTGAAAAATAAGATTGCATGCATCGTAATTATTCATGTATAATACGGATTTTTTATCAGATTTTTGCATCTAAACCTTATGCGTGTTTATTATACCCGGGAACTCAATATGAACATGAGTTTCTATATCCCGATCCATATTCCCAAAAGCCAATTACATCTTTAGTTAAAATAAATAATGTGTATCGAAAATTTTAAAACATTAATCAAACTTTTAAAACATATTCATATATTAAACACTGTCCGCTTCACTGCTGTCTGGATCAAAGATTAATATATTATTAGTTCTTTTATGCTGTCAGCGTAGTAAATGTCTTCGCCCTTTACATTTGCGATAAACGGCCCCTGAGTTTAACAGACGAACTATGAGCGAAGTCTCATCGCGGTTGAGTACAAGCGACTGATAAATGTTAGAAAATCTCTCTGTTCCTTTTTTTATGCCACGCATGGGCGTAATAACATTATCCATTTATGTTCTATGCCGCTACAAAGAAATAGCCACCAGCGACTGTAATGTGTGTGTGTGTGTGTGTGTGTATGTGTGTTATTTTTTATCCATTTTTCTCTGAGCGTGAACTTATTTTCGCTGGATGCTTGTTACGGTTACATGTCAAAGCGATTGCTCTAAATAATTTTTAAAATTATGTAAACTATGTACATTCTTATTTATAGTCGATAGGAACCAGTTAAAAAGTTGAACAAATGTGAAATTTAGGTTAAATTTTATTTCTACAAATTCTAAAAAGTCTAATGTTGTCTCGTGTTAGATAATGACTTAGTGCGTGATATACAGGGATAATTCGAAAGTAATAAACTTAGTGAGACTAGTAAAAAAATTTGAGTAAACTCTAATATCTTAGTTTAATACGCCAATATTCATTGGCTGTTTTATAACCAAATGGCAAAGCCTCTCTTGCACTGAGTAACGAAGAAAGCTCTTTCGGTTTAGTAAATAAAATTACTTTTTTTCCATATTACACTTATTGAAGAGCATACGATTTTCTTCAGCTATTTTTTGTCATAATTCAATCAACTTCATAATGACATTTTCATGGAAATGTGTGTGTGATTCTTAGTTTTTTACATTCCTGTATAAAGAACTGTTCTTGGTAACTTTTACAGTCTTGCAAATAACTGCGTTTTTTTTCTTTCGTTAAGAGAATTCTATAGAGAATGGAATAAACGGTAAACCGAAATTGTAATATTTTTGTTAACAGGGTGGATGAGGGAAAAATTCCCAGTCAATCTATAAGAAAAAAAGCAGGTCAGTAAAAAAAGAAGAAAAAACATAATATGACGAAAATAATCTAAGATGTTCGACTGCTCATCATAAGCCGCGAAACTTTATTCATTTTGCGTTTGAATTTTAGTTTTATCCTTAAATCCAAAAGTAAAATATGCCGAAAATGCTTCTTACCTTCTATCTTAAATGTTACTAAAAAATGACAATTTTAGTTTTATCCTTAAATTCAAAAGTATAACATGCCGAAGATGCTTCTTACCTTCTATCTTGACAATTTTGAAATGAGAAAAGACTCAGTTATTTACACTGCATGATTAATTTATTGACTTGTTTTTTACGGTTTATCAACCTTTTGCAGGTAATTTAATGTCAGAAAATATGTCTAAATTGAATGAATCTTTTGGGAGATAATAAGGATGTACTTATAATGTCCTGCTTATTAACCCATTGCTGGTGGAGAATAAATGGATTCATATATTTCCCAACGGGTAAGCAAACATAACGAACCAGACTGGAATTGGAATTCGGTTCTTCTCTTTCCAGTTCCACGCCGTTTTCTATTACACCATTCACAGAGCTTAGCTTAGAACACCTGGTATTCCCAAGCAGTCACCCATCTAGGTACTGACTAGTTTCAACGTTGCTCAACTTCGGCGATCGTACTGGAACCGATGTTTCAATGTGATATGGCCGTATGCCTATACTGCATATAAGAATAATTTTACTTGCATTTGTTACTCCTATAAGATTACTGATATTTTGTTTTGAAGTAAATGGCATTAAAGTTAACTTCTTTTCTGAAACGATGATACACTATAACTCTGTAGAAATTGTTAGCAAGGCAGGCAATGAGACAATTATTTTCAATAGGTTTTCAAATACTTGTGGGTTTGTGCACTCCTAAGATAAACGTCTTAAATATTGCATATATAAATAGAACACTAAAATAAATCTCATTGTGTTTGCTTTGTTTTCATCCGTACTATGAAATGGAGTCAGTCATCAGTGCATATTTGTTGAAATCCTTTCTCCTCAATACCTTTTACTATACAGTGTTAAGACCTACACAACATTGAGATACTTTAACTTTAGTTAAGCCTGAAGGAACTTCTGTAAAAATTAACATTTTAACTAATATTTCTTTAATCTCAATTTCCCTGATTTTTTTTTTATCGTAAAACTCATATTGTCATTCTTCGTCTAACCAACGGGTCTCGAACGATAAGAGAGTTGCGATAAACCGTAGCTGCAATTAAGATGAAAGAAATACTGTATGGAAACTTAATAGTATTGACAAAGCTTCAACAAAGAAATTTTCTTAAAATATTAAATCCTACTCCCTCTCCCCTTACACGTCTCTTTCTTTCTCTCTATAACAATAAGAAATAGACATCTATATTTTTGGAACGTATAAGAAGGAAAGAAGGCTTGGACCATTTAATATTCACAGGGCATATTGAACGCCTGAGAAGCAGTGACGAGTCAACTACTTAAGTAATTTAAATAAATGGATGGCGGTCCATTTTAGACAAAGATAGGTGCAAAATGTGGTACTTCGAACAGCAAAAGACAGAAAGTTGGCGAGAGAGCTATAATTTCCCGCTTTACGAAAAGACATGTTACAATCTTGGTTTAATTTAGCACAAAACAATATGTTAAGTGAAAAGTTTGTAGAGTGCCAATTTACAAAATGTTGAAAGTGGGTATGTTTTGAAAATCCAGACTACGTTTATATTTTTAAAGTCCAGCCCGATTCACTTTTGAATTTCGCTATTTGATTCCTTTATGGTTTCATTGGGCTACAATGAGATAAATGTCAATTCAACATATAGCAGGATTTCAGTGTAGCACATTTCATTGCTTGTCGCCTGATCTGGCAAACGGTTCTCCGAAATTGTGGCTTTTTCTTGGTTCGGAAATTTGCCACGGGGTACATATTACAGGCCAAAGTGTCTCCACCATGATGACTGCCCTTATCGATATTAATTAAACTTTTAACACGGCACTAGTAGGTGACCAAATATAGAATTGGAGCAATTATTATTATAATCTTTATCTTACTATACGCTAATTGTATTTCTATATTTTTACTAGTAACTTCTGTAATTTTTATTGGTACACAGTTATGCCCCTTGAGCTGGAATTGCCAGGTGATAATCTTTGTTATTCTATAGTTAATATGTTTTATAGATTTAAAAGCACATATGTGAAAACGTTTTAATAATGTCAAGAATTTAACAAAAATATAAGTTTCAGTTATGCTGTCATTTTCAAGTGAGTCTAAAAAAAGTTAAAAAGTAACAACACTTATCTTCGGCAATTTCCGCCTCCAACAGTATATCTACGGAAAGAGCCGATCAAAAAAGTAAATAATAAAAACGATGGAATTTTATTTGCCGCGAGCGCTTCGTATTTATGCTATTTTGTTGAATATAAAATGCCGTGTTTATATCAACGCGTTTATCTTAAAAGAACTTTTTTCAAATTAAATGAGAAAATACTGTTATTCAATAGAAGCTGTTGAAAAGAAGAAAATACATCTTTATATATAAAGTTGTCGCCTCTGTCTGTATGTTTGTTATCAAAGCCAGGGGTTTGGAGATAGACCCACATAACCATATATAGTCTGAATCTACATTTCCCAGAATATTTGGATAAATATATTGCATTTAGATCAAAGGGGGGCCAGAAGGGGCACAAATCCCCACTGAAAATTTTCCCCTTTGATTTGAATTAATTTTAAATTTGAAAAAGGGAATGTTCTTATCTAAAATATAGGAGAAAGCCAGAAGATGGAAGTCATTTCGGCAAAATCATTGAGTAATTCTGAAATGCATCATTTTTCCCTACAAATTATAACAATGATTTAAAATCGATCATCATTTTTGATGTAATGGAATAACCAGTCACCCCCATGAATGATTATTCTATAGGTAGTAAGTAGAGAGAGAGAGAGAGAGAGAGCGCAAGCACGTCCGACCTTCCAACTAGTGGTACTCACTACTAGATTGACCTGTGTCTATAACTGGACCGTATTTCATATTGTACTTGTTGTGTACAATAAACCTTTCTTCTATTATCCACCTGGTGTTATGTGTTTATTCCCTTAACACGGAATATAATAATTTTCTTACAAAAAATGTGTGACACGCAGCATGTATCTTACTTATTATAAAACGCAGATTGTGTGTGTGTGTGTCTGTACGTTTATATATTGGATCGGATTTCCAACATTTTTCAACCGATTTCAACAAAACTTCACAGGACTACGTAAAATTACCTTGCGGTGGTTCTGACAGTGCCAAAAATTTGAAAAACACAATTGTTTTTGCACAAAATCAATTTGAAAACACGATTAAGAGGCATTAATGAAAGGGGGACAACTCATATCGAGTTATACTTATTAATATCGAGTTATACTTATTATAAAACCCAGGTTGGTTGTTTGTGTGTCTGTGTTCGTTTATATATGGGATCAGATTTCCTACATTTTTAAACCGATTTCAACAAAACTTCACTTTTTTTTTGCAGGTAGTATTTCTTATTGTCTTGAACACTTTTTTCTTTATTTTTACATTCAGAATGCTTTAAAAATTCCATTTACAAGACAATTGTTTATAATAAAATTCTATTCAATGTTTTTGTTTGAGTTTGGGTTTGACCAATTCGTAAAAAATAAAAAATAAAAAATAAAAATAAAACTTATTAAGACATGCGTGTCCGTCAACCTTAAACAATAATCTTTGTCAATTTTATTTTTCAGTCTTTATGATGGTTGATATTTGATCCATCTCTTACTGTTCTTCTGCTAGTTTGTGATAAAATGACATGATCCTAAATAAGATAGAAAATATATTCAATTTATGATGACTGAAAAGTAATAATGTAATTAAATAATCATGTAACTAATATTGTAATTTTTAATGACCTTTCAGGTTCCTTATTATTTATCACCAATTTATTATTATTTATCTTATTTCCCCATTAGCTTCATAATGTTTTTTTTTTTTAATTCAGAGTTGCCTTTAACCTAGACTGGCAGCCACCGAAGGCTAGAGAGACAGCTTATTCTGCTATTTAACCTGCAAATTGTCAAGAGAAGAAATAGAAAGGGTTTGAACTCGGATCATCAATTCCCCTTTCCGCACCGATAGCCGTTACACTACTCTCACAACCTAATCCATACTACCTACCATAAATTATGCATTTCTTTTAATCCCATTCTTCCAGGCATGCAACATACTTTGTTAATATTACCTTAACGAACCCGGGTTTGTTTGCCATTTCTTTGATGCCGGTAATCATAATCTTTATCGTTATTTAAATTCTTTATTTTGGTTTCACTGGTTCTACTGACAATTCTCACTCATAACAGACTGAAAGTGATTAGAATTTATATTTAGATTACATAAGTAAATTTATGCAACGTAAGTCTATTTATGTAATATAAATATATTTAGATAAATTTCTGTGTGCCATTTTTTTGGAAAATAATCGAGTGGTTTCCTGTTGCATTCTCCAAGGTTTGACATTAAGTGTTTTTTTACTCTTAGACTGGTTGCCACCCAAGGTAGAGAGTTCGGTCTGTTCCATTATTCAATCATAGATGGAAGGATAAAAGATGGTTAAATGCCTTAACCAAGAGCATTTATGCAAAAGTAAATGCAATTGACAAGGCAAGAATTTGTACTTGGCTAGCCGATTCTACATTGCGAATCGATAACATATACTACTCGCACACCCGCATCTAAGGATAGTGTTGCTTCATAAGAAACAGCGTGATATGTAATGATAGTCAAATGTGTGTGCGAAGATTGTGATATGCTGATTTTCCAAGTGAGAAGAGATTAGAGATTCGTAAATGAAACCTGAAATCTCGACTCGAACATCGGCACACGTAAAGAATATGCCACTGTAACTATTATTTACACTGATTTATGAAATATATTCATTTAATCGGGTTTATGGGTAGTCTGATGGATACCAGAACCGGGTAGTGGGGTCAGCGAGTCGTGTTCAATTTTAGAGGTAATCTCGTATTGCGGAATCGGAGAGCGGGGTTCGAATTACAGTCGAATCCATTACATTCACTGTATATGTGCTAATACCTTTAGAATGGTATGAATCTCTTCTTCTCTCCGCTCCCAGTTATTGGGAAATAGCAGGACAGACCGGGTTCTATAGACTTGGATTGCAACTGGTCTACCGCAGAAAGAAATGGCAACCTACTGCAGGAAAAAATCTGCTTCGTCAGTCATGTATCTTTCGATACATGATCGCCTAAGTGCGTATCACGGATGGCACATAATTGAACTACTGCGTTCACTGTCACACAAATGATACATATATATATATATATATATATATATATATATATATATATATATATATATGTTACAAGTTGACAGGATGCTTTTTCCAAGTATATATATATATATATATATATATATATATATATATATATCTTGGAAAAGCATCCCAGTCAACTTTAACTTTACAAGATACGTTATAGTTTGGATGGGAGATTTGTCGCATTGTGGTTACTTTACTAAAATTTTGCAGTGAACTATTTTCCTAGTCGCTCATACCCAACCTTATCACAAACTCATATCAAATTTGCGAAATACACCAATTTATCAAATTTCTGGTAATATAACGTTTCCTGCTAATGTATATACAATGTTACATGCTAACAT